AATGACATAGACAGCAGGATCGAGTGCACCCTCAGCAAGTTTGCAGATGACACCAAAATGAGTGGTGCGGTTGACACGCCTGAGGGATAGGATGCCATCCAGAGGGACCTGGACAAGCTCAAGAAGTGGGCTCATGTGAACCTCATGAGGTTCAACAAGGCCAAGTGCAAGGTCCTGCACCTGTGTCAGGGTAACCCTTGGTATTGATACAGGCTGGGAGATGAAGAAATTGAGAGCAGCCCTGCAGAGAGGGACTTAGAGGTACTGGTGGATGAAAAACTGGACATGAGCCAACAATGTGCACTCGCAGCCCAGGCGGCCAACCGCATCCTGGGCTGCAGCAAAGGTAGCGTGGCCAGCAGGTCAAGGGAGGTAATTCTGCCCCTCTACTCTGCTCTGGTGAGATCCCACCTGGAGTACTGCATCCAGCTCTGGGGTCCTCAGTACAAGAAGGACATGGACCTGTTAGAGCAGGTCCAGAGAAGGGCCATAAAAATGATCAGAGCACCTCTCCTATGAGGACAGGCTGAAAGAGCTGGGGTTGTTTAGCCTGGAGAAGAGAAGCCTCTGGGGAGACCTTATTGTGGCCTGAAAGGGGGCTTATGAGAAAGATGGGGACAGACTTTTTAAGAGGGCCTGTAGCAATAGGACGAGGGGTAATGCTTTTAAACTAAAAGATTCAGACACGATAGAAGGAAGGAATTTCTTACAATGAGGGTGGTGAAACACTGGAACAGATTGCCCAGAGAGGCTGAAGATGCCCCATCCCTGGAAACATTCAAGGTCAGGTTGGACAGGTCTCTGAGCAACCTGATCTAGTTGAAGATGTCTCTGCTCATTGCAGGGGTGTCGGACTAGATGACGTTTAAAGGTCCCTTCTAACCCTAACCATTCTATGATACCTTCTAAAACAACCGCCCATTTCAGTACAATTTCCAGTTTGGACTAAGTATACACTAACTCCTCCTAAACTGAACTTAATCACAAGTCGTCTCAGGTTCTGGCAGGTTTATTAGTCTAAGCACAGTGTCGAAATAAATGCAATTAGATAGCTTATATGGAGGGTGCTGCAATCTTCTAGATTGGTTCTTTTTTCACAGGGTCAAGTTGGGATTAATAAACTCTCCTGAAACTGGAAGTCCTAAGAGCATAGGACAGCCAATATGGCAACCATTCTAGGGTCTGAAACAATAGTATTACTAGAGTCTTTCCATTACCTGGGATTTCCAAAGTCCCCGATCTCCATTGATCCAGATACTTGGGCACTGATTGTAAGCCTGAACTGAGCTGTACATTTTCTGGTTACTTTTACAGTACACTTAAACATATCAGAGATCTTTCATTAGAAAAGGAAGAGGCAAGGTTAATCCTCACTCACTTTTTTTTTTTTTTTTTAAAACACAGTTTAATTCCTCTTGACTTTTTTCATTTCTATATTTAGTTCAAGAAATACAATTGGTCTTTCACCATCCTCATGAACCCACAAAATCGTAACACATAAGGACAGCTTTAACACGTAAACACTAATGAAACTCAAATAACAAATGTAAAAGTTTAACAAGACCTGTATATATCTGCTAACCTAGAATTCTAATAAAGAAACAGATGTAAACTAGGAAAGACTTAACACTGAGTTACGACTACTGAAGTTTTGATGTACTGACTTATAGGCCTGCCTGTCACCAACAAAATAAAGATACAGCAGAGAAACAAGTAGAAAAGGGAGGAAAAATGCTTGTTCTCCCCTGAATTCTGTTTTACAAAAGAAGTTGGCCCTGTCTCTCCAAAGGACTAGCCTTGGAACTCCAAATGACTCTCACCAAAGGACTCAAGAACTACATTTACCACTGAAGTGAAAAGTCTCTGAATGTCTGAAGGACAGGAAATTAGAGAAAAATGAAAGAGGTAAGAAAACTGTACAGTTCTGAGTAGAAACACAAAGAACATTTCAAGGTGGTGTAATTCAGCAGAGAATTCACTATCTCAGACAGGGCACTTTCAGGATCGATTTTCCCAGGATGCTTTTCCACAAAAATATATTATTAGCATTAACATACAGAATACAAACGATGCCAACATGTATAAAGGTTTTGAAAAAAAGACAGGACTGTGTGCCCCTTCTCAGAAAACTGTAATTCTACAGGACACACATTGAAGTAGTATTCTGAAAATATAAACAGCCAAAATAAGGGAGGGACAAGCCACAAGGTGGGGGTGGGAAGCAGAAGCTAGGAAGGAGCACTCCCTGGCTTTTGAAGTAAGCAGTGAAGCACTGTGGATTAATCTAAATATTTCCTCTGTAAGCAAATGTAAGAAATGGTGGAGATGATGTCAGCTGAGGATTATTTTATATGTTGTTATTTGTTGTTGTTGTTTTTTTGTTTTGTTGTTGGGTTTTGGGTTTTTTTTGTTTTTTTTAAAGAACAATGAAAAATGATCCTCTAGCTCTATGTCAGCCATGTTAACTTGTTATAATACTGGTTTTGTATATGCTCTTGTTAATAGCAGCAGTAAAGAATTTGGGGCAAAACTAAGTAGAAGTCTAGCTTAAAGATCTCTACACTCCAAAAAGAACACTATGGAAATTAAGACGTGAAACAGATGGAGAAGGGACATGAGAATAACCAAAGTGACACAGAAGCGTGACAAGAACAACAAACTCATTAAAGCTGATGAACAGAACTTCTAAATGAAACACAATTGAAAACGTAATCTCTGACAAATCATAAACATTATATTTCCCCTTTGTAAGACATTTTACGTGAAGAATAAGACCAGTGAAACTTTCATTTTGTGGAGATGAAGCCTCTACCACCATCTAACTCCCTTCCAAGAAAGCTGAGGACTACGGGTCATTAAGCTATTCAAACAACATGCCAGCTTTATCAGAATAAGAGTAAAATACTGTGACAGAAGCATTTTAAAACATGGGATGTTTGAAGTTGCATGACAAATATTAATAGATTAATACAGGTACCTATAAACAAAACAAATCATATTCTAAACTCTGAACAGATAAAACTGGACAAATGGAAGCTCCTAGGTGACAAGGACATGTTGGTAAATTGTATGGATTCTGAAGACACAGCTAGAAAAAATATTTCTGGTAAAACCCTGTAATACAAGGTGTAAAGCCACCAATGTGGCTGCTACAGAGGGTATTTAATGTCACTACAGCAGGCCTTCTGGACTGAAGGTTAATTCCTCAGCTGATACCTCCCTGGCAAAGAAAACTATGGATCAGAACAGATTCAAGACAGAGAATAGTTTTGGAGTTACCACTTTGGACTATAAGGGTGCTTCTCCTCAGAAGGAATCTTCAGATCTTTAGTTGGAACTGTGCTAATATGCAAGGTTTCCATCAGAATACTGCAAACCCTAGCACTCCTATATCCCACGATGTCAACAACAAAGATGCTGGGATAGACTTATACCTTCAGTTTTCTTGAAGCCTAAGGCTTTGCAAGGTACTAGGGCATACTTCACCAATATGAAACTAGAAACTCACAAAGTAACACAGCAAACAACTACCTCATCACAGTATTTTGGAACAAAAGCTTATTTCTCAGGTACAATACAATATACTTATTCTTTATCGATAAACTGTGGCTGCTTTCTGCAGAGGAACAGGAGTGCAAGAGACATTTGGAAGGCTCCAGGTGGAGAACATATGCTATGCCAGCTGTCACAGAAGAGAGAACTAGGCATTCCATATTCCTTTAGCAGGAAGACAGACTGCATTCTTGAATGCATATGTTACCACTAATTGTATGTGGCTTCAAGTTTGTGCAGTACAGCTTTAATGTTCTCTTCATTTGCTTTGTTAAAAAAAGCAAATAATCTGTTAAAAAAAAGCAGTGTCTAGTGAAGCACACATTATTTTGACTGATGCACAATAGATTTTTAAATTTCAATTAAAAACCATTAAAACATGTTGCACACCAAGTTAAAAAAACACAAGAACAATTTATTTAATTTAATTCTACTTCTACTTACAAGTATGTAAGCATTCTGTTACAGTAGTAGCATCAATCAGGTATCCATTGCACAGACGACAGGTTATATGGGCATTAATGTCCCAAAGCTTAATCTTTCTTGTTAGCATCTTTGGTGTCTGCAGAAAAGACATATCATAAAGTAACACAGCTGTAGTGATCAGGTATAAGTCATTTGGGAATAAATGATTAACTAGAATTAACCCTAAAGATATGTTCATAGAGCTTTAGGCTCTCATATGCACACAGGCACAATGATAGCACTAACTTTCAAAGGACTTCACAGAAGTGAAACAATGTAAAACCCCCACACTATTTTGCAAGTCAAAGTTTCAATACCATAGAAAACAGTCTTTCTAGCATGCTATTAATAAGTTTCTTTACCAACCAGGGGACTTGGATTTAAGGTGAAACCTTACTACTCTACTGATCTAAGTCATCACGTTCAGTCTAGTAATGGGGAAGGATTCACAAAAATTTGGAGAGAGAAAATCCTCAAAGCAATTGGAGAACTGAAAGCATTTTGATAACTGAAAAGTCAAACTAACAGGGTCTGATTTGGCATAGTAGGTTTAATCACACTTTTAAGTGTTTGCCTTCTGCCAGTATGGTTAAAGCATAATTTTAAAGCTGTGTCTCAATAATGGAGCTGAAAAGTAAACCTTCTGAAATCCCATTTTATTTAAAGTTAAATTAAGGAGGGGGAAGGGGGAGGAA